ACGAACATTTCAGAGTGTTTGAGTGTCAATGTAAGAACAGTACAGAGGATATTGAAAGAGTTAAGATGATATATCCTGTTAACATCATGGTGTTTGGAGTGATTACTAGTGATGGCAACGTTATGCCTCCATTCATCTTTTCACAGGTCCTCAGATACAACATGGAGGTCTACATCATGTGCCTTGAGGAGGTAGTGCTGCTGGAAGACCCTGTATCTGGCAACAGGATTCTGCACCATGCCACACTAGCAGGAGATCCTAGTCATGTCTATCAGACAGTTTCTGTGACTATATCACTCCTTACATCTGACCACATCTCCCCAGACTGCAACCCTCTTGATTATTATGTGTGGGGGCGCAGTTGAGCGAGAGATAAAAAAAAACTCCTTGTAACACCAAAGATAAACTGAAGGCAAGGATTATGGCATCATTCACCAACTTACACAAGGAAACTGCCCAGAAGAATTGCAGCAGATTCCAAAGTTGTCTAGAGGCCGGGGTTGAAGCCAATGGCGATTTTATTGAACCAATGTACTCTTTGGTATTTCAACATATTTTTGTGTAATTTTGGCAAATATATCTGTTGAAATGAGATGTCAGATGTTTAAATTTTGCGTAACTTAAACGACAATGTATATATGATAAAAATATAGTCTTAAGGTAATGCATATTTATGGCTTAAAATACTCAATATCAGGGATAGATCGTATGTAAATATAAAAGTGGAGATTTAAGTCAACGCCCTGATGGCCTGAAGATTGCCTATAAGCATGAAACAGGCTGTCGCCGCTGGGTGTTGTCTTCAATGTCCATTTATATATATATATATATATATATATATATATATATATATATATATGGATGTAATATTATGTAATATATATATATATATATATATATATATCCTCACTTCCTAATGAGCCAAATGATAACACACACCCACAGCAATACACACGCTTGCACATATCATACTCACTCACTCACTCCCTAAGAACCAAATAACACACACACAAACACTAAACAGAGACATATCCCATCTCCAGGACCAATAAAACTGTCAAAATGACCACGGGAATTCAGAGAAGCATAGATCCATCTAGCTCTTATCTCAAATAACAACTTAAAAGAGACTGTTTGACCAACACATGGAATGTTAAAAGATTCATGTTAAAAAGATAAAAAAAAAAACAAATGAAAACTACAGACAAAAGTTCTTTTCTCCATCAAGACATTCATTTCTGTAGTTCACTGCTACCAGCAAGCAGAAATATTTCTTCTCCTGATGATGGCCATTTTGGCCGAAACTAGTCGAGGAATCTAAATGAAATAATAATAAAAAAAACGAAAGAATATTAATCTACAACCCAGTGTGTCTGAAGATTTTAATTTTTAATATTTTTTTATTGTTCAATATATATATATATATATATATATATATATATATATTGAATAATAAAAAAATATATATATATATATATATATGGTCAATTTGACAATAGGTCATCGAAATGTGGGTCGGCCTTTGCTTAGGTACAGGGACAGGCTGAAGAGTAACCTCTTAGCTGCGAATATAAATCACACTACCTTTGAGAACATCGTAATGGATCGTAATGAATGAAAGACTACATTCTACAATGGCATCAAGAACAAGGCAGCATCAAACATTGTCAAGTTTCGTCAAACTAGGGAAAGGAATAAAATATCTGCTGCTGTTCCAGCCATATACTCCAAGAATTCACACTCTTGCACAATCTGTGGACTTCTTTGCAAATCACTAGCAGGACTGAAATGTCACTTTCGACTCACACACAAGGTTAAATAAACAAAGCTGTCGGAACCTCATACGTCGAAGCCGACGGGTGAGTCCAACATATATACAACACAAATATAAAATCATGTGTGTATTTGTCTATGCGTGCGTAAATGAAACGTATGATGACAACGAAGAAGTGTCAAAACTATAACGGAAAATATACAAGATGGCGGAAAAATGGGAGCTTTTTAGTAAAATTCTGAGGCTTTCGACCGCGTGGCAATAGTTCACATTTTCGGTTTTTCAATGTCTATAAATTCGAAAAACGACCGGATATTTTTTTTGTTGTTATTCGTAGTATCATTTTTGTTATATTCACAAAGTGGATCAGCTTATTCCCAGAACGCTATACATCGATACAGCTTGCCTTATATCATGAAGAGATGATATTGACGTCTTTAGTGTATATAGCTTTAGTAAATATTGAAGCTGGCCGGAGATGCCCATCAAATACAGTCATAGTCTGTTGCATTCACTTCGCACATGGCCCTTGGGAAAAGGTATGATCGTAAGTACCTTACTACAAGGGCCTTCTGGCAAACGGAGCTAAATATATCGGTTGACTGCTGCAATTAATACCTTGGAACTCTGTCGAACGGATCATTGCAGGTGAGCATTCAACTAATGTTGCTCTGTTTCAGACTAAGCTAAACTTTGTAAATACGTATAAATAAAAAAGTAATCTTA